TTGTCGACGCCATGACCAGCTCCTCCGCTCCTTCGCGCAAGGTCTCTACCTACTCCTCTCTTTATACCTTTTACCCCCATCCAGATGTGCTGCCCTAGTTTCGATTGCGTTTGGTGAATTTTCGTTATCTTTAGAACTTTGACTATCGGTTTTTGCGTAGGCTTTAAGCAAGATCGCTTGCAACAGACTCCAGAAAGAGCTTGTGGAGTGGCAAGTTAATCCGCCAGTCGGATTCAAGCACAAAGTCACTGATAATCTCCAAAAGTATTTTTGCTCTTCAATATTTTCATTTCAATTGTGCTGTTTTGCGTTCCATCTCTGGGGAATAATCGTGTGTTTTTGGTGCATAGATGGATAATTGAAGTGAATGGAGCTCCGGGAACACTGTATGCCAATGAAACGTTTCAGCTTCAGGTCGATTTTCCGGAGCATTACCCAATGGAGGCACCGCAGGTAAGTGATACCTGTTTTTTTTTTTTTTTTAATTTTTCCTCTGCATTTTTCGTTTGGTTACTGAGAGAATTGTGGAATTAAATGGAAAATGAATATTGAAAGATGTTTATTTATACCTTAAAAAAAAAAAAAAATCTGTTCAGCGTTGTTTGTTATACTCAGTTGAGTGTTCTTCAATTTTTGTGGATATTATATTTGTGGATTGATTGAGCAGGTGATCTTTCTCCATCCAGCTCCTCTGCATCCTCACATCTATAGCAATGGACATATTTGTTTAGGTATTGTCTTTTTTTTTCAATTGTCTATTTTTCATTTCCCTCATTTAAATTTGTTTCCATTTATGATAAAATTGACACAACACACATTAGTTGCTATTTCCATTGTTTCTGATAATAGTGATTTATCAACAACTAAAACTTTAAATCCCTTGTTTATTTGTATCTTCTCCAAGGTAGATGAATGGTGACTAGTTAGTTAACATTGCAATTTTGTTTTAATAATTAATTCTTGTGAAGGGCAAGCTACATTCGTGTTCCGCATATTCAAGTCTTCCTTAAGTCTGTGCCAATTGCTGATGGTTGGAAAATCTGAAGTGAATTTATTACTGGAACTAGGCCTTAGTTTTTTGCCCTTCTTGTTGTCTTCTACTTTATCAAAAATGACTTCTATGGGCATGTGTCTTAGGTGATGGAGCACATTGCAAGGTTTCTTGTGTAATCTTGTGACATTGGCTATCAATCTTTTAAGGCATTTCTTTCAAGTTTCTGCCAACTTGTTCTGATCAATCTTTATTAAAATCAATATGGTTGTCTGTTTCTATAGAAGTTTTAGAGTATATCAACAGTTTATTTTAAGATACAAAATCCAGCATAAATATAATCAAAGGTCCTCCATGACACCTGGTTTGAATGTGATTTGTCTCTGTGATATGGTTGTCCACTTCTATAGAAGTTTTAGAGTGTGTCAACAGTTTATTTTAAGATACAGAATACAGCATAATCAAATTTGTTTGGATGTGATTTGTCTTTGTGATGGTGCCTCATGTGATTTGTCTAGCAATTTCATAACATCAGTGGTTACGTATTGTCATTACTATGGAACTTTACATTTGTTGCTGTCTTGCTGTGGGTTCAGGGTTGTTACATTCGTTCTTCTTCTGCTTATGTCATGATATAAAGATGTGGATATAATTTGTCTAATAGATTTATGGTATTAATTTTTCCCAGGAAAACATTAATAAATAATGATACAATGTGTAGGGATATGTTCTAAGGCATAATGTTTTTGTCTTTTGGAAGGAGTTGCAGGAGTTTCAAATTCTTGTTTTTGAAGCGTCTAATTCTCTGAAACAGACCAGTGTTGACCTGTTCAGATATTGAACCATAAACAAAAGATATTATATATTCTCTCACATACAGATATGCTTGTACACACACACACACACACACACACACATTTTAATACATCTGGCTCTTTAGCATGGATCTTGGATCTAAGTATATAACTAGTTTTATTGCACATTGTAGTTTGTCCTTTGTGACTACTAAGAAATAGAGAAAGGACGAATTGTGGATAGTGAATCAGCAGATCAACCTCTTGATCATTATTGTCCTTTTTGTTGGTGTCATTGTCACATGTAATCATTTATATGTGGGCAATTATCCTGCAAACTGGCATTGAATATCATGTGTCATTTATTTTTGCAGATATCCTATATGATTCCTGGTCGCCAGCCATGACCGTTAGCTCTATCTGTATCAGCATTCTTTCCATGTTATCGAGCTCAACAATGAAGGTTTGTTCTTAGTTGGTTTTGTAAACATATTGTTCATTTGTTTGTATTCTCCTAGATCTGTGCGTACCCATACAAATGTGGTCATTGATGCATTCTGTCATTGTGCAGCAACGACCAGCTGATAATGATCGTTATGTGAAGAACTGTAAAAATGGCAGATCTCCCAAGGAGACAAGATGGTGGTTCCATGATGATAAAGTGTAATAATAGTACCAAGAATCCAAACCCGTGTATAAGCCAAGTTTTTTGGCTAATATATGTCGAGCTTAATGGGAAGGGAGGCTGGTTCTCTTTGGTCGTCTTGTAACATATACATTTACCTTGTTGTGTATGAAGATCTTTATTTGATTCTGGTGGCCTCCCCTAGCAGTTTCCTTACTTCAAATATATGTCATTAATCACCAGAGGCAAGGATTACGGTAGTTACCATCTCTATCATTGCTTTAGACGAAAAAGGGAGAGAATTTTTAAAAAATAGGGAGCAGAAGCCATCTTTCTCCCAAGTTGGGTTGGAAGTTTGGAAAAAGGAAAAACACTCTAATTTGCAATAGGTATTTAACAGATTATTAGATATAATGTATTATTGCTACCTTCTTTCAGTTCTTTCTTGGTACCACAAAGAATCCTTATGCAAGATAGTAGAGAATCCTGATTCCTGATTCCTGATTCCTGGTCCTGAATGAGTTCTACTTTCGGATCTACCCGTGTGTGAGCACATTATGGGCTGGGCCTGCATCCCGATCCCCAAGCCGTACTGACATTGACATACGGGCTTTGTTGTTCCGGGCCGAAATGGTCAAAGACTCAAAGCCCGGCCAGGTCCGCCGAATAGAAAACTCGTACATTTGATTCGAGGTACAGAGATGAGCAGTTTTAGCTAACTAAAATTGCAGCGCAATTTTTTATCGACGGCAGAACGGGAAGCACAGCATAGGGAGTGAAGATGCTTATCCGTCGACTACCTTCAACGGCGATTTACGTCACGACGACTGTGGCTTTCTCCCGACGTTCTCCGTCTCCTCACTCCTTCGGCGCTCAAACAGCCAATTCGCTCTATTTCAAGCCTAAATTCAGCCTCCTTCCCTTCTGCTCCAGCTCACAGACTTCTTGCGAATTCACCGACTTACTCAGCGAGGAACCGTCGAAGCGTGTAAGAATTCTCTGCTGCTGGATTGCTACTCTCTACGTTCAGCCTCGATTGGCAATGATTAATTCGGTTGTTATCGTTGTGACAGGGACCTCTCAAGCCTGGATTGTATTTGGTAGGAACACCAATCGGAAACCTAGAAGATATCACCTTAAGGTACGCACGCTTTATCTTGTTTCGCAATTGAAGTGTAGAAATAACCTTCTTCGGTTCCTACTTTGCATTATTGCATTTGATAGCTTTTGATTTTTACTTTGGCCGTTTTCATCAACGCAGAGCTCTCCGCGTCTTGAAATCAGCTGATGTGATACTCTCAGAGGACACGAGGCATTCCGGGAAGTTGCTTCACTATTATAGTATCAAAACTCCTCTTGTAAGTCTCTTGAAGCTTTTGTTGTGTTTGATGTGTTTCTGGCTATTCTGATTGTGTTTGTTAGATTTTCAGATGAGTTATCATAAATTCAATGAATCTCAAAGAGAACAAACAGTTTTGAAGAGGTTGAAGGTGGGTGAGATTGTGGCATTGATCAGTGATGCAGGAACACCAGGCATCAGTGATCCTGGTATGGAACTGGTAGGCGTGTATTCTTCTTCTTCTTCTTCTTCTTCTTCTCTTTTTCTCTTCCTCTTTGTCTGCCTGTGTTTTTTTATTTATTGTTTTGAATTTATTGGTATTCTAAAAGAGCCTAAATTTTGGTCTGTGCATAATGTGTTTAAGCTGTCTATTTTGGTCCTCAATGAAGGTATATAACAGATGATATTTGGAATCTTATTGCAGGCAAAGTTGTGTGTCAATGAAAACATTCCTGTTATTCCAATTCCAGGGCCTTCTGCTGTGGTCTCTGCTCTTTCTGCCTCAGGGTTGACCACAAATGAGTTTACATTTGGTAATTCTTTAATGGAAATGATGCTTGTAACAGGTTCTGACATGCTTCTTTGGGGATGCACTGTCAGCATTTTCAGGAGTACTATGACCTAATGTTAACTAAAATGCTGCAGTCGGTTTTCTTCCTAAACATGCTGGATCAAGGAAGGAGCGGTTAATAGCTTCTGCAAGTGAAGCAAGAACCCAAATATTCTACGTTCCTCCTCACAAGCTTTGCCAGTTTCTCGAAGAGAGTTCCTCAGTCTTTGGTTTTTCAAGGTGAAAATATTATCTGCCTAATGTTTGATGGGTTACATATAGTTTATAGTACATTAGAATTCCTTGCACTAAAAATTGCTAATAGACTCCAATGTTCACCATGTTTCCTTCATAGTTGCATCTATGAAATTTAAACAAATGTTACTCCGGAGCAAGAAATAAATGGCTCTCTGCAACTTATTATGACAGCCTTTTTGTTGATCTCATTGCAGACCATGTGTTATAGCTCGAGAAATGACGAAAGTACATGAAGAGGTTAGTTTCATGATGCTACCTTTTTTTTTTTTTTTTGATAAACCTAATACTACTTTTTAATTCCCTGTTCATGTTGCTTGTCTAGTGTTTAGGAGATTCGTTTTGATGTCTTCTTACAATAACCTTTTTAATTAGAGGTAAATCCTTTTCCCTAAGAAATATTTGCTAAGCCACATGATTTTGAGGTTTAAAGATGGAGTACCATATGGTGGCTTTCTGTTGATACCCTTTTTGTCCTCAGTAGGCATGCATTCTAAAGTAAACTGTATAGTATATACAGACAAATTACATAGTTTGACTTCAAACGTCTAGGGTCTTGATCCTATTAGTTGGGGTTGTGTCTGTTTGGTACCATATAGCCTCTCTTTGTTATTTTACCATCACATGATTGCAACATGATGGTCTCGTTTTCTAAAAATGTTAAACAGACAAGCTAGTATGTTTCCAAAAGTTGAAAATTTACTTCTTCTAAATCCAATCAATAGTTGATGGACTTTCCTTCATTTGATCCATGATTTACTAATGAAGATGATTATTCCTTATTAGTTTTGGCGAGGCACTTTGGGAGAAGCAAAAGAAGCATTTTCAACATGCCAACCAAAGGGAGAAATTACACTGTTGATTGAAGGCAAGGCAAACTGCATAGAGGAAACGCCATCAGAGTGTCAGCTTGAGAATGAATTGAGACAATTGATAACCAGAGGGCATAGTCTTTCTTCGGTAATGATTTCTTTTACCATAGGTTTATTATTGTTGTTAAATTCAAGTTTAATGTATTTGCTAAAGCTTTGTCTAGATTCACATATTGGGAAACCCTTAAGACGTTTGTCTCAGATTTGGAAATATGATGTGTACTCTAGGCAGTCAAATTGGTGGCTGAGGGAACATCAATGAAGAAGAAAGCAATATATTCACTTGCTTTGAGAAAATTTGGAAACAAAATAGAGGCGAAGGATTCAAATTGATGATACTCATGCTGTGAGTGACATTATATTCTCACTGCTTAACTTGCAGTGCCAACTAAGAAGTTAGAAGTTTCTAATATAACTAAAATATAAAAAGATACGAACATTAATTACCCTTCTGACCTTTGTGATTGCTTCCTTGAACAGGGAGAGCTAATGCTGGACTATTTTTGCGATTTGTCCTGCTTTTGAATGTGGAGAGTATGTTGCTGTTGAAGGCTTGGAGCAAAAGCAGAGCAAATCCATTATCCATGCAGATAAAGTGGCGAGAATGATGATCATATTAAGGTCATGGAACAAAAATTTAAATTATGCTCTCAATTAGCTGAAATTCATTGACAAGCCATGTTAATCCATCATGACAGAATATATATCTTTGATGGTTCTTTGTTAATGGATAGGCATGGAAATTGCTAACTAATTTAATTTTTGTGACCAATACCAAAGCACTAACTGATGAAGAAGGGTTTCAATTTAGTACGTACTAATTTCAAATAGAACTTGACTGATGGATCTACTGGGTGAATGAATAAATGTAAACTCCTTTGAACTCTCCCTCTTTCCATTGTATCTCAAGAATTAAGAATACTAGCAGAACTAAGTTACTTTTTAGTTGCAATCATGTTGCTTCAAGTTCTATTTCCTTCCTTTCAATAATAAGTAACTTTATATTTGAAGTTCAATTGAACTCCGGTTTCAGCTATAAAATAGATAGTATTCATGTCCTTTTATTTGGTGTTTCATGGTTCCTGGGTCCAGCTATGATATTGTTGCTTTGAGACGCGCTAGTAAACATTAGATGCCTGCTGATATCTTGAATTATTTAAAACGTGTTGCTATTATGTATTTCATCTCTGCACGCAAATCTTCTTTGTCTTTTCCTCTGTCCTGAGATGATGTTGCAATCATGATCTGTACAACAAAGCGAACTGTGCTAGTTCAACTCGAGAAACAGGGGGACAGATACACGGAAATTAGGATTCAAATAGCTCTTCAACTCTATCTGTATCTTACTACTTAATTCTTTATTTACAAATATAGCTAATAATTACAGATCCTGGAAAGGGTGAAATAGCTAAATGCCAATCCACGCTGGATGGAGCTGGAGCTGTCTTTGCAGGAGCAAGATCCAGCCGGTAAATCAGTAGCAGATATGGGGGTAGTGGTCACGAGCGGCTCAGTTCTTATAACATCACATGTGCACTGCAATATATATTGGGGCCCGACAACCTCTCGGCTGCGCACCATCAGAGCATGGTAAGAACAATCTTCCGATTTGAGTTCCGATCAAACAAATATCATTCTATATTTTCTTTCTTGCCCCCTTATCCCATTGTATATGTACAAGAACAAGAATGTGCCTAAAGCCAGTGGTACTGAGCGTGGTCCTTCTCTAACTTTGGATTCATCTGTTGTCATTACCCGTCACCATGAAGCACCATATGAGGAAATGAAGTTTGGTCTGAATATCCGTTGCCCTGTGGCTAAAATCTGTCTGGGATCAAACTCCATCTTCCTCTGATAAAATCGATCCCACTTATTCCCAAAATGTTCCGTCCATTCCTCCTGCGTGGTATAATGAGGCAAATACTGCTTCACTTTGATCCCAGCTTCATCACAGAATCTGAGGATCTCACGGTTCTGACTCGTTAGGTACTCCAAGCTATGCATCTCCTCCCCATCATCCAATGCCGATCTCAGTAGCGCCACCAGGTAAAACACATCCTCCTCCGGCGTCACCACCGAGCTGCGCTGGTCCCACCTGCAGGCGAAGGCATTAACAACAATCGAAAAGAAAAAGGAATCATCTTTTTGGAGCATTCTGTGTAACATGCAAATGGTAGTTGAGATTTGATTGTTTTGAAGGAATTCGAAGGGGCCCACCATTAGTCGTTACCTGTACCAACGGCTATGTTTCTGGAACTACTTTCTAACAAGACAAAAGAATGGGGACCGCCGGAGAAGATATTCTGACATCAGAATCCTCCCATTCGGACCCCTTTGATCATTACCGTCGATTTTTTGGGGTTCTAACTTCCGGTCATTAAAAAAAATTATATAATATATATATTTATATATATATATATATATATATATCATTTCTCTCATCCTAGCTGGCTACGTATTTAGATTACAGAAAACACAATCTATGTTCTGGGATTCGGAGGTATTTCAGCATGTTTCCAACGTGTTTGGTGTCTGATTCATCCTACATGTCATGGCCATGTCTCCGAATCACCATTCTTTTGCGTCTATCTGATTTTGCACAATTGGCTGTCATCTAAAATGTTTAATCACCTCTTTCCTCAAAAAAAAAAAAAAAAGAGTTTAATCACCTCATAATTACCAAGTAAATACCCTGTCCTTTTCCTTCTAAAATCCGTACCTCAGTATTATTATCTATTGAACAATATAGGCCCCAGAAAATTTTTGAAAATAATAAAGAACATGACATGGATAGTTCATCCATGCAATGGTGTAAAATATATATCATGCAAAAGAAAGCTTACTTGTTTTTGTTCATGGGATAGATGAGAATTGGCCCACTAGTTTTATTGCTCAAGATGGCCTTAAACACGCCGTTGTCAAAGTCGCTTATCCTTGATTTAGGGACAAAAAGGTTGAGCCACGGATGGGGAAGCTCCCAAAGGCCCTTGGCCCGGAGCTTCAGCTCAGCCTTGTGGACCCGGTCCAAGAAATCAATGTAAGGCAGATCCGTGGTGAAAACTGAAGTTGGAATAAAGTTCAATCTCTTCAACAAAGTCTCAACTTCCTGCAAAATCCCCAAAAACCAATTATTGAATATTCAATCAAAGTACACAAAGAGAAAAGCTGCTACCATACACAATTGCTGCTGTCAGGATAAGCTCGATTCCAATCAATTATAATTAAATTACTTCGAGAAAGAGAGACTAATTAGGGGAGAATAGTTTGGTGGGGGTGGACCATATTATTCTCTTGGACGGCTTAGATTTAGTAATAATATAATGCAGTACATAATGGAAAAGTAGTGTTCAAATCTTAGGTTCAGATAGGGATTGATAGATCACATAAGATCTCTTATGTTTTCTTGCATATGTTGCCATTATATTCTATAATATAGCTTCAATAAAATATATCTTTTAATTAAAAGAAGTAACCTTATGTTCTCAATCATATAACCTAAGAACTGATGAGGCAATCCATGAACTCATTAATAAATTCCTTTAAAAAAAAAATTGGGTTCTGGATATACTAACAGAACAATTATGTAACCAAAAAAAAAATAGATCATGCTTTAAATAATTGATGGATTATTATGTTTCTGTTGCATTCTTTTGGTTTTATATATTATTACCTTTAACGGGGTATCCATTTAATGGTTAAAAACACAAAATTTTGAAAAGTTTCAGATTCAAATTGTATACCTGATCAACAATGATATCAGTAGTAGATTCATCATAGTTCTTGGTGATTTCCAAGCAATACAAGACCCCACCATTGGAACCAAGAGAGGAGACCTTGACAGGGTTTCGAGGGGAGAAGAAGGAAGACCTCCAGTTATTGATGAGGCCTTCGTCTACAATGACAAAACCCTCCACATAGTCAAATTTTTGAGAAGCTGGAAGGTCATGCAGGGAAATGAGATATTCCTGGTCTTTCGTGAAAGCCGAAAAATTTGAGTACAGTACCCTGATCCACCTCACCTATACCAATAATAATACAAAAAAGTAGAGAAAAAGACCACGTTAGAGGCAATAGCAAATGTCAACAACATTGCCAGCTTTGGCACAGCCGTCTGAATGAGTTTAAAAACATGCTCATCCTTAGCTTTTTAGGTTTTGACAAAACTTTTACTAGGAAATTTAAAAAGGTCATCGTCCCACATCTTAAAAAATATAACGCAAAGATAAAAGAAAAAGAGGAGAAATATTCATACCCTTTGAGGTGCTGGTTCAAGAGCAATTCTTGCTCTTGTTATAATTCCAAATTGTCCTAGACCACCGAGAACTGCATAAAATAGATCTGAGTTTTTCTCTTCTGAACATGTCAAGAGCTCGCCTTTTCCTGTGTATTCAACCAAAATAATTGATAAAAACAAACCCTAGTTTTTTAAGATACAAATTAAAGTAAAGTCTCGTCGAGTGAGTACGTGTTAACTTTAAAATATTAAATCTGGTATTAAAATTAGGGAATATTGTACCTGTGACTACGTCAAGTTCATGGACATTGCTAATCTGAGGGCCATGATTGAAAGCCTGACCGCTGATGCCGGCATTAGATAGGGTACCGCCGACGGAGAGGTACAAATAATCAGTCCAAGACTTGGGTGCAAGCCCATACTCTAACGTACTTTTCAAAACGTCTATCCACAGCTCCCCTCCCCACACGTCTACGTACCTCTCGCCCACCGCAACCCGAGGTGGCGCCGCCCGCCCCTCCCCGCTCATCTGCACCACCACCCCATTTCTCGTCTGCGCTTGCCCGTTTATCGAATGCCCGTGTCCCCGGGCCGAGACAGTGAACCCATGGGCTGACCTATAACCCGCCTCAACAATCCGGGCCACGTCCTGGGCCGAACCCGGATGCAAAACTGCCAGTGGCTCTGTTTTCCCTAACATACCGAAGTCAAGAGAAGCGGCTTCCAGATCAACCTGGTCAACGGTGAGTTGACCGTCGACCCTCAGGCGGAGAAGCTCCGAGGGATCCAAGGTAATCAATCCGACAGTAACAATCAATCTACAGATGGCAAACGTTAGCAACAGCATAGTAGCCGTCATGTTTGCTAACAATCCCCCCTGTTTAGTTCTCGAGAAAAATAAAATGGAATGAATTTATAGAGCAGAGAACGGAAAGTTGGCAGACCGGCGGAGAAGATGAAAAAGGGAACAAAATCTCTTGGTGGCAGCGTTAACGTAGCTCAAATTGCACTTTAAAGATTTACTACGTAACATGCACAGATTCCCTTCTTCTTCCTTTTTTATTTTTTTTTCCTTTGTGAGAGAAAGAGAAAACAAAAATGAAAGAGAGGGTTGGACTGTTAGAGTGTGCGTATGTTTTGGGTGGCTCTTTTTTGTGTCTAGGATATGAGATACAGGCTCTCCATTTATAGGACAAAATATGGGGTGGGCGAGGGTTGGGTGGAGCGGGGCAGTCACGTGCGAGGACCATGGGGGACACGTGTGAGGAGAAGAAGAGTTGGGTAAGAAGGTAAGGGACCCTTACGTTTACAAGACATAACCCTTTAGGAGGGGCAATGGTGGGGTCCATAAAGGATACGGGAGTATCAGTGTGGGGACATGAGCGAATGAAGGTTCACGTGGGTATCTGTGGATGATGTTTGGTTATGGAATGCAAAACCAATAAAGATTTTCTCTTTTTTTTTTTTTTTTCTCTCTTTTTTTTTTAAAATAATTTTGTTTTTTTAGTACATCAATTTTGATCTGAAGAATATCTTTGCCCTTAGATCAGGATTGCAACTGCCAAATAGTCCTTGATTATAGTTTTTATTTTTTAAAAAATTTATATTTATCTCTTTTTGGCTAAAAACAAGGATAATGAGTAATGAACAAACCAGCTTTGGTGTGTTTGGTGGTTGCTTGATTTTAAATAAGTTGATTTGAGTTGATTTAATTTATTGTTACAACAAAAGGGGATTAAGAGGTTCAAAATCCAAGCTGGTTTAGTAGTTAAAATAATTCAGTTTCATAACTGGGGATGATTGGTGGGCATTATTATATTGAAATGTGACTTAGATGACAATTCCAAGTCGAATTACATGAAATCTTGATCTCATCATGCATGATGACATTAAAAGTTTAGTGTTATAATAAGTTATTTAATGAATACACGGCTGTGTTAAATTGTAATTTAATTAATAAAAAATTAAAATAATTTATATTTTAAATTTTAAATTTATAATTATTGAACTGTTTATTATCAATTATCTTTTATTTCTTAATTTTACTACAATTACATGTCA